AGACAAAATCATCAAGACTCAACGCTTAAGGGCCTTTGGATTGGTAAACTGTTCGAAAGGTGTGAGGCATGCGTGCCGGTCTATATTAGCAAGCTGTTTTATATCATACCTTCCTTTATTTACACAAGTTGTTTTTCCTTTACATATTATTTACTTTTTATATTGCGTTTTACTTGCCCAATGTTAACATCGCTTGCTGCAGAACGGAACTTCTATGTAGAGGTACAGATCAATTAACAACAAAACAGCATATTTTCAGTAACCTATAGTATAAGTATGGCTATATGTCTCCTGTAGGATTGCTGTTATCAGGTGTCCTGCTTCTTTTCGTGGTCTTATTCGTCCTAGCAACCGACTGATGAAGGCGAGCTGCAAGCGATCGTCTCCCCACAAATCACCAAAGGATCCAGTCACCACTGTGGAACCAGTGATACACGGCGCGGAGTGGAAAAATATAAAAAATTAAAAAAATATAGGACAGCTTAAAACACTAGAGTAAAAGCGTTGCGCAGGATTAGGCCGAGTGGCGACGAACCAAAGAGTTGATACATTGCGACTGATTCGACTGAAATAGGTTTAGCTATCTAAAAGGATGTATCGGTAGCATATACATCCATAAGAAACGACAACACAACGATGGACAATTGTTTACGATTCTATCTAAAGATAATGGGATACGTCCACAAGAAAAAAATTTGGCCTAATTATTGTACAGAAAGTTAGGTATAGTTAATTGATGTTCGGCACTACGGTAACGGAAGTGATGTGAAGAAATTTTGGAATGACTTGGAATAATAAGAAACATATAAGAACATGCTGATATTTTTAGCTAATGTAATCGATTGAATACAAAATATATTTAGGTTGATTGAAACAACATCAAACTGATACGAAGACGTGCGGTAGTAGGGGACGCGGAAGAATCGACCCAAGATTGTAGCCCAGGTAGAATTATTGCGTACAGAGTGACTAGGTGCACACGAATTACCATCTACCTATAGCTAACTATAAAACGGTACTTGCTATAGAGTGTGGCTCGTATATCGCTAGTCCGGTAAAACTATATCATTAAAACTACTCTCACTACGCCATTAAGAAAATGATTCAAGAAGAAAAACAACATTCATCGAGCTGAATAGACGTAGATAGTAACAGATTGTAAAGATTTTTTGCACATCTGAGTTTTTTAGTGCAGTATTCTGTCTGTCTGTTGTTGTTTGTTGGCAGAAAGTCAGCTACGAATTCTGTCATTAGTTCGGATAGCAGTCTGCATGCGATCTCAGATGGCTTTTAATGGCGGTACAACAGAGTTAAGACGAAGCCAACACATACAACCGAGGAGCCTTTGTACTTCAAGCTAATATAGCTCGCAGCAACTCCTAATTACATATTCTGTTCCATATGGTATTGTATAAACAACGTTTGTCGATAAACATCCAAAGAAGGATTATTGAATATAACAGGGTTTCCATCAATAATTTCACACTATTACTTTGTAGTGTCTATAATCGGCAAAATGAAAAACGTAATCGAACAGATCAGCCGAGAACTCTTCTCTCTTGCTTCTGTTAGCGCTAATATCAAAACCATAGCTAATAACAAAAACCAATAGAAAAACATGATCATTCATATAGCAGTTTTCCTCATGACATGTCTATCCTTTTCATTGAGCTAATTACACACGACTAACTGTATCTGTGCTTAGATCATCAACCCGGCCAAGCATCAGTGTTGAGGGGCGGATAAATCGTTACCTACTATAAATATTGCATGAACTATTTAAGGATGGTCTCGAATAGAAAAATGTATACGCTCACAAAGGTGCCGGAATCTTCGATGGGATTTGCGCCGCGTAGGGGATTCTCCGGACGGACATATGGATGAAGAAGCGGCTCCGCATAATAAACAGGCCAACCATATAAAATTCTTGTCAATTTAGGGATAGCAGACATAGATGCTATGTTTCCGTGATCGAATAAAGGTAATGTATGCTTTTGTGCTAAACTTGAGTATACGTGAGGTAGTTTTTCTTCGAAACATGGCTCAGACGCACGTCGCCTTGTGTTGGGGCCCAGCCGTTTCAAACACTGCTTAACCACAGTGGATAGTAGGTGGCCGGGGAAAAGTTAAACGAAGAGATGATAAAGCCAAATGTTTACTAGAACTATATAGAGGTAGAGAGTGAAAATAGAAAGTGAATACTATCGTACAGCTAAATCTGACTAGTTCTTGTTTCGTTGTTGGTTCTAAAGCTGGAATACTGTATGATCATATAATAAGAGCAAACAAAAAATTCACAATCAATTGAGATAAGATGTGCGCAAATTCTGCCATAGCAGAATGTGGACTTGTGGTGATCTAGGTTCGGAACCGGATGCAGACACGCTTCGTTTGGTATTCCGAGCCAGCCGTTCAGATCAGTGCTTAATGGCAGTGTCGCACATCAAATTCGAACCGTTTAAACATTGTGATGTGAGAAACAAAGGGCTTTACATATTGGTAAAACGATTGAATGTAATGCAAAAAACAAAAGCTTTAAATAGTCGCATGTAAATACACAGGGTGGATAGTTCCCTTAGTATACAGATAATAGGAATAACATACTAGCTGCGAGCGTGTGAAGTGTGACTTACGGCGCAGCCTTAATCGAAAAAATGTGTGTCTATTTATATTGGTTTAGTGTGTAGCGATCATAATTTGCATTGTAGGGGTTTCTGTCATTTCGCTCTATCATTCGCATTTGTGGCTTCATCGCTACAATTGGTAGCAAAACGAAGGCAAACCATTGAGGTTGCCGGAGGGCTAGTTGGGAATTGAGGATGGAAGGATAAGGTCCTTAGAAGAATAGCGTTGTAACCAAGGCTACCATTTCTCAACTACTGAAGGGCAGTTTTGTTTTTGCGACTGTGTGGTAGCCCCTCCTGTAAACATATATATATATATATATATAGACTCAAGGTGACCAATTACATTATCCCGAAAACTACGTTCTGATATTTTGATTCTAATTGAATTAATTAATGCAGGTTATTCCATGTAAGGCCCGAGCACGACTTTGAACGAACTCAGTCTGAGCTTCGGAAGTCTCTGCAAACCATTCTGCCTTCAAGATTACGATCGTATTTGACTACACACTCGTATAGATACTGGGGAGTTCCGGCGAAGGTGTTGTTACTAATTAAAATGACAATTACATTTAAAGGATATGCGCCTTTGGGCCAATACAGATTAAGCCTAGCATTTCAAAAGCTTATCTGAACTAACGGGCATATGATTACTACATGGGCTCAACTAAATATTCCATCATTTCTATTAATTTTTTTAAAAATCACGACGGCAGCCTTTGTAGTGAAGACTGCGGTAAGCTATAAGTAAACATTCAGACAAACTACTCTATTAGGAACTTAAAATGTAGACGGTTAACATATATTGAAAGCCGCTGATCTAAGTAAATGTATCAACAACTATTATAGAAATAGTTGTAATACGTCTACATTTTAATATGCAATTGTTACAACGATTCGCTTGACGAGGAAAGATTTGGTCCTTGGTTCGTTCAAGGTGCAACTTTAATGCAAAGTTATTCATTCATAAATAAAACATTCATAAAATAAGCATTCATAAAAGATAAGTTAGTTTTTTTCTTCCTTGTTCAATAGACGTATGATGACGAGAAAGTCATTGTAAGTAAGTCATAGCTGTATAGTAGGTGTAACGCAGAAAACTGCGTTCGGAGTACGATCACGCTCAATTACATTAGAACTTATCCAAACGAAATTAACAAGAGCTTATTGAATAAAACATATTCGTCGTTTGCAGGCCTTGTCACAAGCAAAATGGCCTGCTAGAAGGTCTATGAGAATATGCACGGCCGACACCGCGCCAACACAAAAGTACATTGTTAGGGAGCACGATAATTATCATCGTACTTGTGTATTGCTCAGCTCTTAGTAACAACCTAGCTTAATACATACCCGATTAGAGTTAATGGCACCAAACAAATTGTAAAAACTTATTTTAACGAAGTTCTTAATCAGCGTCATTGACGATGTCACGTTACTAATTTACAAATGTAGTGAAAAAAAAATACTGGATAACCATTGTCGCGTATCAGTCCTCAAACCCTGTACGTTTCGTTTAAGGGCTGCTATTGATAATAGCTCCTATCGGTGGTTATTAGCATCGTATCTGTGTCGTTCATTTAAAAAAATCCCTTTTCCAGGAAAATAGTCGTCGCCATTTTGCACAATTGCAGATGTGACCTAAATTTTGTTTGAAAGAGGCTTAATTTGCCATTTAGTCACGTTTGAGTCTTTATTATAGTTGCTTATATTTACATAACAGATAACACATGGATAAACCAGACAGACTAAATTTCGTTCAGTTTCTACAACACAAGAATATTTCATATATATATATATATATATATATATGTATGTGGCGACAGACACATTAGTACCGTAACAGATGTTGTTTATTTGAGACATACTCTCCCTATATAGCGACAGCAATTGAAATAGCTAGGATGTCGGGTCATCGTTGTAACCTTGCGACCCCTACTCTGCTTGTTCGTACTTTCTCGTTGACTGTCGAGAACATGTCCGCTAATGCACGCGCACACTGTCAACATCTTCTGCAACCGTCGAATTAAGACTGTAACCTAGGGAGCGACTACTATTACAGTGAAAGGCATCACTAGAGCCTTCGCCCCGCTGCCTGGCCGACTAATTAGCCTTTTGTTTTCCACAGTCCTCTCGCTGTCCCGGCACAAATCCTAATTATTCGAACAACGCTTCGTCCTTATATAATGATAGCGTTATGAATCATATTGGACTTACCTAGACCTCTCGAAGAGATCATTTCTACCTGATTGTACAACAACGAAACATTTTCAAATAACAGCTGCAGTGTAATCCATTATCGCTATACCCCAACACCGGTTTCAACGGACTCATACAAACAATTAGAGTCTTCGGTAATCAATCGAGATCTGCGGTTCGGGTATAGGTAAGCCTAAGAATACTAACAGAAATTATTTGACAAGCGTGTACTTCCGTCATTTAGCCATCTCATTCACCTTGTGTAATTCGTTCAATGATAGTACGCCTCGTCTAGAGACTACACAGTGATCCTGCTTTAAACAATATATTTAGAAAACGAAAAACGTATCGCGGTAAACGAGTGAAAATTCAAATTATAACTTTTCATTCTACTAAGCGCGATCACGACGAGCTATATGGCCGTGTTTGCCAGTGACGTACGCTTCCTTCATGTTTTATAAAACTAGAAATGAGACGTGTTTTGATGAAGACAGATTGCCTCTGGACTTGGTGTAGCACTAAAGGAGATTATTTGATGTATAACAGTTAGGCCTAAATGATACATTTGTCTCTCATATGAACAAAGTAAAAAACTAGAGTACTATTATTCTTTATTGAGTGAAGCAATAGCGCAGTCCACTTGACTCCATACTGAGCCGGGATTGTAGGTAGATAAAATTGCACAGCATAATTATTAAAATAGAGGACTAGTATAAGTGAACGGCTAATTCTGCTTGCAATGTTCCACTTGTTATTGGAAAAGCTTGTAATTTTCTATCTTATGTCACCATTCCGCGGTAAGGGAATGGCCTGCGGATCAGTGCGTGCATTGTGTATCGTGCAAAACGGTTCACCGTACAACTGTCACTATAGTTTTCCATTGACAAACCACTTGGAAGTCGGCTGTAACAGGTTGTTTCGTTCTTTTTTTGTGAACAGCTTTCTAATAGTATGCGCATGATCCGAACAGATGCGTGTGATAAGCCGATCGTTTTCAATAGCATTGATTGACTGATGTGACCTTTATAGTCGGTTATATTCGTAAGGTTTTAGCTGAAGTAATTCACGGAACAGTACCTGTTCGAGCGCCCATTTCCATAACCGCTTCCGTTCCGTCACTACTGCGCCAAAAAAGACCATGACCTTTCTTGCACTCGTCTCGGCCCCAGCTTTGCTATTTCATTTGTATTCGCGTTTCTCTATTATATATATGTACAAACAATTTACACAACTAGACACGTGTGGATTGGTTTACGTAGGCCTCTCCTAGCGTGTTGACTTATGATTTCAGTGAAGTTAGTATATATCCATTACGTCACTTTTTGGCGACAATAAAATAATACGCAAACTTCCAATTTTTCCTGTTTTGCCACGCGCATCTAGCATTTCCTACCGAACATTATAGCAATGTTCGGTTAGCACCGAGCACCTTCGCCCTATGGAATAGAAGCAAAAGGCTTTTACAAGCGTTCCAATCGAAGTAACCCAGATTTTTATTTTTCTAAGATGTTTAGCTAGCACGATAAACGCGCCGCAAATCTTCTGTTGATTAAGTATAATAAAACTATTAGATCAATAAAGGCGTGTTAAGATTCACTCGCACTCCACAGCCCGTCAAGTGAACCAGGGGCGAAATCGGAATTTTCCCACAGGATGCTCAAGAGCTCTTACGACGCCATATCTAGTAGCGTCACATTCGTATAGGAGTTCTCAGGATATCAGTACTCTCTATATTATTCAAAATACATTCAAAGACTTGTAAATGGGTACACCCCGATCGTTTTTCCATTGTCGGCCATTATACGAATTTAAAGTATACATATATGTATATATGTTCGAAGTTTTCGAGGGCAGTTTGAGGACCTGCCCCCAGTCCGCTGTACGTCAATTTCCGAAAAACGATCACTGGTACCATTTGATGAATTTAATTTTCACGTTAAATAGTTGGAGATTGTGTTAGATTCGCCCATGATGACCACGTCGTGCGCTCTTTGGTTTATTTGTATGCCAAATGCATACACTGTTAAGTGGCAGTGGATACTTCAATGACTGACAAATAAGTGATCACGCTAGTGCGCATAAATGACACAATAATAATAAAAAAAAAAAGAAGATGGAATAACCTGCTAATCAAAAAGGAGAAATACGTTTTCTATTCGAGAAAGAAATGGTTAGCAGATTTTGTAACGGCTCGTATAAGTAATGCCTTTTTCTCCCACTTTGAATATACCTCAAAAGTGAGTGAGCTTTAGACCAGTACTAGGTTATTTGTATGCTTTTGAGCAATATTTTAGAGCCATCCTCAATGTTGGTTTATGGAAGCATAATATTTCAAAGATTTGTAGAGTTGCTATTTCTGATATGCGTGCCCTGATAGTCGCATTGAAAAAAATACCTAGATTTCTAATTTCTTCTTACTAATAGTATGCCACTTTAAAAATACCTATTTGTCCAGTAACAAATAACGTTAGTGGCCCTGCTCTCGTAAAGTTCTCATCTGCCTTCGTAAAGGGCTTTGGCCATCACAAAGGCTTCAGTTTATACATCTTACAGTATATTATTTTCTTATCGTACCTTTGTCGATCGTATTCAGCATACGAAAAATGTAAACATGTACATCGATAATGAAGCTGTCTGCAAGTGTTATGAAAGAACGACCTGTAGAAATTAAAAACAACCTATGTCAATGTAAAATTGTTGAAACCATTCCACTTAAGTCGCACAAAAATACAATTGCGGATAGATTGGTAGCCTCCATGCACCGTCATAACTCTGACTTAAATCTTAAGAATTTAATTGTAGGCTTGCTGGCCCTTTGAAGAGGGAACCTCGAACACGATACCTTCGAATAATAAATGCCTTAAAAAAATAAATGAAAAATATGAACAAGTCGGGCGGTCCGTAAGGCTACACATTTAAACTTTTCGCACTGAACTACAAAAGCATGTATCAATTAGTACTTAATAATAATTTGTCAATCATTCTCCTTCTACAAGCCTCATCAGTTAGCTTTGTCATGACAACGTCTATGCATTGCCTATGTGGTCTCCCACTGTGGGCTGAGAGGAGAATTTTCGCGTGCATCAAGTGAACTAGTATCGTTATCAAAGGTCAGGTCATTCATGTTATCCATGCTTCTAGCTGACTTTGTAGTAATCATCGTCTCTTGTCTTCATTTGCGTATCGTTGCTTATATACTTTTTTAAATTGTCCACCGCTAACAGGTAGACGTCATTGAGTGAAATTGTCGTGGCCCAACCAAGTATTGGCGCTATCAAAAATCTCTGATGAATGCCATTTTAGTTAGGGGAGGAACGTTCTGGACCGCGGTTGAACCGACGGTCAGATCTGGGGTTGTCGTCTTTTGTGTCGAAAGTCACGAATTATTAAACACATCAGGGCTTAGTATACTTGCTTCCTACGGTATCTCAACTCGAGTGTGTATCAAAGCTTAGATCAGCATTAAGAATGGATTGCGTAGCTCAAGTGCGTTACAGTAAAGATACGTGAGTGAGGCCGGCCTATTATAGGCATTTGGCTTTCTCGATATCACTTGGTTTAGAGCTTAGTCTCCTCTCTAGCTCAGCGTAATTCAAAAGTTAGGCCTGATATTGTGGCTTGACGTCACGGATTTTGACGACGCGCATCGAAACGAATGGTCGCATAGTTAGAGACCAGGTGGTCGATCCTGAACATTATTTCTATAGATCCGGAACTTACTTGCAGTGCGAGACAGTATTAGCGGCACAGTAAAAGCGACCATCAAAGTACGATCCCTCATGTTCAAATTAATTTATATTGAAAGTCCTATTTGGCTGGCCTAAGGTTACTTGTGGGCGCAGACGTTATCATTCTAAAGGTTAGAGGCTGCATCAACATGGTTGGTTCCACCTGTGTTACTCGACTGTTTAATCGACGCCTCCCGTTGTAGCTGGTCAGAACGACCTGCTAGCAGAAAATAGGTGACCATTTCCCCCTGAAATAAACAGTTAGAACATTGAGCACTTTGTACGCGTATTATCACTATAGTATACACATACAACTGCAAATCGAAGCAGCTTGTTCTGCAGGTACTTTTACGAGATCCTTTAGGACACCGATAGTCGTAATTTTATGCTTAGAAATGCCGATGGACCAGAGATCCTACAGATGCCCTTAAGTGAATGTGGCTGCAGTAGTCAGGCATATCTAATACTCCATTTCGACCAGCACTCACCTTTCCTTTAACCTTGATTGGTCCTCGGCACTGCAGAGGATAACCGAGTGGCTCCAAGATTCGATATACCTCATGTGTCACCTGAAAGCCAGACATTGGCCACAACGAGATCAGTAATCTCGGTGCAGGCTGTTTATTTGCTTTTGTAGGATTCTATCATGTGTCCATAGTGTCTCGAACAAAAAAATAATGTGCCTCAGCGATTAGGTTGAGATTATACGAGATTCAACATTCTATAATATCTTTCATAGATACATGTGTAAATCATTCAATTGAGTGAAAGTATTTATCCAGCTAGTATTGAAAGCAGTTTATCGTGGAACTTCCGCTATTATGACGAGATGACGGCAATGCTGTGCTACGGCACTCGTGCAATTACAAGACCGCCCGGACAGAACAGTTTCGAGCTTACCCTCAACTGTCTCCTAACTGATAGGTCTTTTTTTCAACATGAAATCTGTCCCGCAAGAAGGCACAGGTTACGGCAACATTGATTGTAAGATTGAAATGGAAAGCGTATCACCAAGAGCTGCAAGCTAATTATGTGTGTCTTTTTCTTACCCTATTTTTATATTATTCTAACGATTATCTGTGTCGACCTGAAGCGTTACTATTTGAAAATCAGGTTTGTAATTCTCTCTATGTCAAGTGAAAACAATTCGAACATTATGATATATTACACTTCCCCTAGCGTGCTCTAAAGTAAAGTAAGTGAATTTGAATTTGATCAGTTTGTTTAGTTTTACCTGTATCTTATTTGGTTCCCCGGTTGAGTCCATTCGTGAAGCGACATTAACTGCGTTTCCCCAGATATCGTAATGGGGCTTCTTTGCTCCAATCACTCCCGCTACAACAGGTCCCACATTTAAACCCACCCTGAAACTCGGTAAACAAAATACAACGATTAAACGAGATCGTAGCAAAAGATTAACCTTATACAAATGAGAACACTGGTGCACTTCCCCAGCCACAATTCTCAGTTGTCGAAAATAGAACTCATGCCCTCGATCGTGCTTTGCTTGTGTTTTTATTTATAAATTAGTTCGGTATCGGTAAAAATCATGTTGATTCAATTCTGCTAAATCGAAACATCGAACCAGATACTCTGTTTAACAAAGCCTCGAAGATACATCGTTCTCGGATCATGCGTATGCAGCTAATGTCATAAGCTTAGCTATTGTCACATATTTATACAAGGAGGCTTGCTCCCTACCTGATTTTAAAATGATTGAAAGAGTGTTCATTGACGTATTGAAGCTGCTTGCGTATTGCCAGAGCGTACTCAGCCAATGCTACGACATTCTCCTCAGTGGAGCACCTCTTACTGCTGTTGTTTGCCATAGATGATTTGTTCTGCGTGTCACCCGGCTGTTGGGTTTGCTCCCTTCCGTCTTGCTGCTGACCCGGTTCTTGCTGATGGGCCTTGTTGGCCTTTTCGCCATTGCTGCTGTTCGTAATGCTCTTTGATGGCAGGAGTCCAGCTGCGGCCATGTACGTGTAACCAGTAGTCTTGATCTTTTCAATACACGAAAAGCGATCCTCGGACAAAAGCTGAAATAAAAGCATCAAACCAGAAATCGATAAGTCAATTACGAGCTTGCGACCATAACAGCTCCCGGCCAGATTTAGCAAATTAGAGAGAGAGAGAGAGAAGCAAAAGTTTACAGCAATCAACATGTATTGTACTAAGAGCCACTTTCGGTGTCTTTACGATCACCTTTAACTAGTCTCTGTGGAAACACAAGGCGGCCAGGTGGAATCAAATCAATTCCTCAGTCTTTACCCACTCCTACACTTCGAGCTATATATATGTATTATATAGAGGAGACATTTTTTGACGGCTTTAAAAGTCATATGTATGTATATATATATGGCTTGCGGCCGCCAGTTTCGTAACAAATAGCTCTCTTCTCGTTTTACCACCCGGAGTTCGCTTCGGTGTTATTCTCGACGGTTTCTCTTCGAAATCCTGCTCCCGTTGGGACCTTGTTGTGTAGATGCATTCACATGCGTTCAATCTGCTGTTTCGTCGTTTGGCGCAGCGCTTTTAGAAGTCGCTTGAAATGGCGCAATGACACTAGCATAGTATCTTTGTGTGCTCGAACATAGCCCCTACGCTTCTTAGCCCCTGTTGTCAAAGCGGCTAGGGGCTGCCACGTAAGCCTGCCAAATCCTACCTGTCGGGCCTGCTTGTAGAAATAATTAGATGGATCGCATCTGCGTATACCGGCAGAGTTATTCCACGCGCGATCAGGAGACACGGCTGTAGTCTTGTTAAATTGAAACTTACCTCATCGAAATCAGCGATGATCTCGTTGAGTAATCGAAGACACTCGACACCCTCGTTATTGCCTTCGAGTTCGACATAGAACTCGCTAAAATTTGGAATGGATGCGAACATTACGGCAACATTATCCAGTTGTTCGTGGTAGAGATCCTGAGGGGAGCAAAAAGGATCATATGAGGGGTTGTTTGACAACAACAGATACAAGCGCTTTACGAGAATCTATATGAACAGAAACTGTCGATTGCATATAGCAATCTCTTCAATGTTAAAAAGGAATGTTGCTGCAGTTATGGATACTTTGCCCTTACGGCCACACCAGGGATCCGGAGGTGACCTAGAGAACGGAAAGTGTCGTGTAATATCAATTCAAGCTCACTGAGGCCTTGGTCAGGCGACAGAAACGAAGTGCATTTCATTAAACATCCTGTCATCACGATTACAGAATTAATTATTAATCAGTTGTCTCAATAACACAGAAATAGATAACCGCTAGGATTGGTGACGTTTAAATGGATTTGGTAGTAAAACTTAAGCGCGAAACGAAGCACAACTCTATTCGGGAGGGCAAATATGTCTCCCTATTGGTGCTCGTAAGCGGAATTGCCCAATGCAGACACCACTGCTTAAAAATATTGTATTATTTTTATTATAAATAGTTATTAACAGCGAAAAACGAACGAACCTCGTTAGAGTGATCGCTGGAAAGAAAGTACTCCGCAATGTGCACCGGTAAAATATTGGACAGCAGCTTTCGATTGTATGCCTGTAGGTCAGCCATCTCGTTCTTTTCCTGGATTGCTTGGAGCTTCCATAGGAAGTCCAGTCTGGTTCGACGAGGTCATACAAGGTTTTTCGTTAATTCTCACGTGACTATTGAGTCTCGCGCTTGCACATACGAACTTCTCACAAGACTAATTCCAATATAGTATCAGTAAAATAAATGTCGCGTTGCAAATAAGGTAACATATATAATTGAAATATACTTCTTATTTCATAATATACGTAAAAGCGCATATAATGGCAGTTGCTGACATTGTCCCAGTTATTACTGGTCAAATTCTATATTGTGATGTGTACTCATGTTTACTACTAATGATTACCTACAGACAATGTAACACAACGGTGGGTTTACATCAGCAATGATAGATGCGTGAAACAACGATGACCATGCACTTAAATAAAAAAAAAACAACTATGAAAAAACATCATGACACTAATCATTAGTCAAACATGGACAAGCGGTAATGAAGCCTACCTGGACGACGCCTCATTCTGAAACCCGTGTACCGTCAGAACGACGACGAATGTAACAAGGATAAACGCGGCGCAAACCTTAGCGAGCAGAGGGGCAAACTCGTGTTTCCCCAATAGCCAGAACTGTTATTGTGATTAGCAAAAATTACATTAAAATACGGCAAAAATCGTTAGTAAACTAAACTAGAACATTATTATTATCAAACCTCTTTCTAGGATAACTCACAATAACTAGCCACTGGCTTGTTTCAGGAAATTTTCTGCTGAATTAAAGTAAAAGATATATGACTCTTTTTTTTAACTGCAGAAATTATTTTTAAGCAGAAATCTAAATATGCGTTTCCAGCTCCGATAGATTTGATCTTTTCAAGATATTCGCACCTGATGCTCCCAGAGTGAGAAGGATAATCCGAGAAACGCCGCGACAATGCTGATGAACACAAAAAACTTTTGCACGGTCGAAAACACCAAGGTCGACGCGCAGGCCATCATTAGAAGTAGAGCACAAACCAATTGACGCTATACAGCAACAAAATTGAAGGCACAAAACTTAAACGTGAGAAAAATTGAATGCATCTAAAGGAAATCGATAAAGGTACGGGCATTGTACTAAATTCAAAGCGATTTTTCTTGTTGTTCTAATACAGATGGACCACTTACTATTCATATAATAGACTGTGCATAATAACGCATCGTATGTAACCGTACAACATTTATAGTACTTTTATGGTCCACGACGTAGACTACCATTCGATTACAAGCTTAATCCGATCTCGTGTAAACATTGATAGCTTAGTCCCGGACCAACCACAGAACGCTTGAGAGGTCAGTGAAGCTCAGACACTTCAACGGTCATTTGCAAGCGAAATCTTCACGCCCAGACATCGTGCTGTAGTTCAGAAGTTTATTTTCGGATGCTGTAGCTGTGCGTTAAACCAATTCTTTACCAAAAAAAAAAACCAAAAACCCTTCATCAGAGACTTCAACCGGTTATTTGACAAAAGACATCGGTGAGGCACACTATCTCTCCTTTGTTAACTTCTGTAGGTCGTACATTTTGGTAATCGACGTTGTTTTTAATAGGGAAAGCCTTTTAATAGGGAAATAGAATACTCGTTGCCTTGCGATCCATATTGATGGTATAGATAAGTTCTTCTATGACGCGAGAGGAACGCCTAGATCGATCAACATATGGTAGTTGGTAACACCCGAGTGTCGTCAGTAACGTTGCCTCTGTTGAACCATTTAACAGGGCTAACGGATAAATATTGGTATCAATCCATCTATAGTATTGCAGCAATAGTCAATTGCTAAAAAAATAGCTGCCCAGCGGACTATGGGCATTAGTGCTCGTTAGGGAGCATTGGCGCTGAGAGGATTCGGGCCATAGCAAGAACAACTTCAAGCGCCGACACTGTTACGTCTTGGTAATTATAGTACTTTCTATATAGCGTTTCTCAACAACGAGTACAACTGAATCAGAAAACACCTTGGCCGCTAACTTGTATGGTTCATTAAAAGATTAACTATTAGTCTTTTTTTAAGTTGTTGGCCGTTTGCTAGAATACATAATTAAATCGCATTGTCACCATAGGCCCTAACAGGGCGTATAAGCTTACATGCTTTCCTAATTAGGCTGGACAGTTTCCGGTCTGTACAGAACTATGGTAGATTATATTCGACTCTTACTCAGTTGTTCAATAGTTATTTTCGCTCTAGATTATGCCACTGGCATCTTACGGAGTCGAGCTTCAGTCTGATCGGTTTTGCCGCCTGTTGTCTCGGAGTCACTTGACCTGAGCGCAGACGCTAATAACCTGTATCATATGCACACCTCGTGCTTTCGGCACTATTGGAAACACCGAGGTATCTACACAGGCAGCTTCACCTGAAGTGAGTTCTGCATTCGACACGTATATTCATTGTCGACGGTTATTCAGCGCCTGCCAGCGAAACGTAGGTTCATTGAGCACTAAACGTACCCGCGGGCCAGCTCTGCGTACATTAGGCCAGCTGCTGAGCTACCGAAAGCACTCGGGATGAGACGCATATATTACGTTATGCCGTAAGCCAGATTCGAATAGGTCTACGTTGTATCGCTAACCAGAAGGAATTGTGCCGTGAAGATATTAGTTTCGCATTGGCGACCAAAGCCGTCTTCGCAATGCCAAAACAGACTTCTCTAGTTCTCATTCTCGAGATTGCGTTGTTTCATTTGTGTGCTCAAGGCTTCATGCTAGCGTCGACCAGAAACGACCCAATGCTTTACAGATTGGGAGAAGGCTAAACGTGGTTCGATGTAGCATTTTATTGTAAAATTATGATGGCAAGGTAATAACTTAAAAGGAAGTAAATATGAAATAGCTTTAAACAATAATTGTAAAATATTAATTCAATATAAAGTCACAATTTTTTTTTCTTTTGCTATAAAAGACTGAGCCAACCCGTATCTCCCTTTACTCACATGGACATTTACATCAGGTCTAAAGGCATGAACAAAACAATACAATATTATTAAGCGAGTGCGAAACGATCGTGATGCATGCCGCTGTGAATCCGCTTTTCTATGCTAAATGACTGTAATAACGGCACAGTTCACTCTAACTATATGCAAATAAATATCAGTGCTCTATAGTACTGCCAAGAACAAAGTTCCTTCTTACCGCTGATGGCTGAACTTCTTTGGAAGATTCTGCTTAAGGATTCGTGAATCCGCTAAGCGTCCCCATGAATGTCATACAGTGAAAAGGTTCTCCTAGATGCACTCATTTCCACCGCATTAGTAAATACTTCATTTAATAATCACTCGGAAAGCTTCAACGCTTTGTCTATACGAAGCCGTTCCGATATATACAATACCGTTTCATCAAAATCGGACACTTCCATAAAACGGCTGACGGTGCATGTCTGTTTATGCCGTGTGTCCACTCTGCATTTAGCTTCCTTCTAGAAACGTTTTAAAGCGTTCTCATGCCCCGAATATATCAATATTCTTACAATCAATTAGAGGAGCAAACAAAGCTGAATTGTACTGTATATGACTTTCTCAAGCGGAACATGTATACTAAATCGGGACAAGTTGTGTGGTACGCAACTTCTATAATTTATAAAAAATAGCGTAATTATTTAACTGTGAACTTGCGAACATCGTAACAGGACCACCAATATTTATAGAGTTTGATACACTCCTTTCAAAGAATGGTTATTTCAACCAGCTGTCGTGTTGCCCTTCGTCGCTTTCACCTAGCATACGTAATTAAAACAGGTAGACACATGTGGGCCACTGTTGTCGAGCAAACAGAGTCGCTTCGTTGACTATATTTTACTCTGCTATTTCTACCTTATTTGCGATAGCTTCCGTTATCTCCTCACGCCCAAAATACTTTGCGATTAAGGCAGCAATGGTTAAGGTAATAAGGCGAGCCTGACAGAGACCCCATCCGGCGTAGTAAAAGCCGAAGTGACGCTCGGACCCTACGCGGCTCGCCGTCTCGTAGATTTCCTTCCCAGCAACAACAGACAACAGCAAAGTAAAATAACTGCAACCGTTTCAGTCTCCACGGTCAAAAAGAACTTTGGACCTCCTAAATGTGAGACGCGCTGGGGAAACGGCAAAGGCATTTTGGGCTCCGATTTACAGCCTAGCTAACAGACTCCTAAACTGTTTTCAAAATTGGTCAACCAGCCGTGACAGGGAGTTCTGCCCGGGCGCATATGTTTATTGCTACACACCTGGGATTCTCAGAAAAAGAACCCACTGAATACAAACCAAACGACGCGCTGTGGAAAAGATTTATGAAATGAGAAAGCGAAGCGAATAAGCGTACGTATAGGTAGCGTAAAGCCAATAACCAAGGACAGCGGGAAGATCGACAGACGGATGCTGTATTTACGAACGCAGAGAGAAAACTGTTACCTCTAAAAATCAGACGTCCGGGTCACGAGTATGAATAATTTCCTTTCCTATTTAATTTCAGTTTTCTCTATCATAAATGTTGTAACGCGTACTGGTGGTTAATTAGCTATTTCTATTTCTGGCGGAGGTTTTGACCAAATTAACTTGTCGGTTTTTAATGAGAGACTTTTTAAAGAGGCTTTTTTTAAATATCTATCTATTCATACTACGAAAGTAATAGCTGTTGAATTGAAATGGGTAAACAAATAGCAACGCACCTCGGGAATGTTGACGTTATAAATAGGCGTGCACACCTCAGCATCCTGAACTTGGTCAAGCAGATCGAGGTTCTCTATCGTAGTTGATCCGTTATTTGTTTTTCCTAAAAAATATTTTCACTGGTTACGTACACATACTACGAGTTTTACGTCCGGTACTGCCTTAATTGGGGCTTACTTCGGGCGGCTAGCTACTCCCAGCTTGAAACAAAGTGCGGTTCCGAATACATATTGTTTCAGTGCTCATACATTGGTCTGTAAGAGTTTTTAGCCTATAGTTGATACACTCTATATACCCAACAATCGTTCGATGAAGGATGAACACTCACGCTGCTGGGCGCTAAGAGCATCCGAAAGGGGCTCTCCGTCGATATTTAAATTAACGTCGAGAGGGCAATAGACAAATTGTGGGTTAATTTCAGGGCTCGCCTGAAATAGGCAGAAAATACCAAGGAGAAAATTTGAGCATTATAAATGTCTACTTACATTTAGCGGTAAGCTGTTGCGTCGAACCGATATTAAGCATTGTAAAAAAAGCGGGAAAAAAACATGAAAAAATTATCAATGTATGCAATCAAAACGAATTCTTCCTCCTACCATCAATGCGAAGTTGCATATATAAAGTATGGCGAAGGCGACAGCACATACAACTTGGCCATTGCGACGCTTTACCTCCAGGGCACGTAAAAACGTGATAGTCCAACGATTCATTGACGTCGCGCTCGTTGGAGACTGATGCGACCTCTACAGAAGCAATGTAAAACATAAATATGCGATAGATCGGTTAATTTCAGATCATTGTAATAAGCTTTTACTTAATTAGTAAGCATTGCGTTTTGCTGCGGACATATTGACGCTGGGAGCTTCCAACAATGCATTCCCCTCAATGATCTCTTTTCTGTTGTTTTTTTTTTTGTAGCTAGCAAGTTGTACCGTGAAGCCAAACAACAGTTTCGCAGAGTCTTTATTTGTTGATTTAATCGAAAGACACGTTTATCTACATATTTTACACATGTGCACCATTTCCCTTCGATAACCTGAAATTCTTCCTAGGAAAAAATAAACAACGCTAGCACAGAATCGTTTTAAGGCCATAGAAAAGTATACTAGTAAACGGGCAGCTTTCGCGTAATATATGTTGGGGTCGCATAAATATTTCGGCCTCTTTTAATTTTCTTTATATTCGTGCAAATGCATTTATAAGGGCGACGTACCATAAGTTGTAGTGCAGCGGCCGTGATCATGATCATAAGGATTGCTATCGAAGTGAATACACCTGCTGATTTCCACGCTGACCTACAGAGGAAATACAGAAAAAAAATACAGGAGAAAAGCGAAGGTTTTTTTCTTTTATATTTGTAAACATCTCTTTAAACAATATTCTTACGACATATTTATTTTTCATTCATTAACCCAGATGATAGGCTTAGCTACGGCTAAGACAAAGGCACTGCACGGAACTGTTTTTGGAGAAATCAAGTAAGCTTGGACCAGTGACGGATAAACATGCTGTTCTAGCAATTTTTTATTAATGAGTGTAAACCTTGAAGTTAGGAGGCTTTTTCTAACTCCACACTCATGTTATAACATGAATGAAGTGTAAATTGTGTTTTTATTGTCTCAACACTTATAACACTAACATATCGAAAAGCAGAGCCTGCGCGATAAAGTTCACCACCAGACAAATTTGCGATGATGTGAGGTATACCGCAAGCATAGGTTCATCTTGCTTCGAGAACTTACTCTCCAGTTTCCCGTCTAGAAATTCTAGTGTCACCTGCAAATAGATTAAAAAAGCTCAAAGATTATTAAATCAAAGAAAAAAATGAACGATTTAAACAATATCTAATATTCTAAAGACCAATACATTTTACTTACTAATCTATTATTTTTAGTACTAAGCTTTTGTTTGGTTAAGTCGATGAAAGATGGGGATTCGATATGACAAATTTTATAAATGTCGACCAACACTGTTTACTAGAAATAAAAATAGAAATCTTTAAACACCTTATTGCAGTGCTCTGTCCTCAATTGTTCAATACTATGTGCCTCGATTGCTCTGCTGAGGTAATCATTAACCTCATCATGTGAGTTTTTCTTTAACGCTTCAAATCCACTACCGGTCTTCTTCCACGATCGATTATGAAATTTATCGCGACCAGTTTGATTAGCCATGCCTATATAGGAAGATATCAAAACGCGAAAAGAACAAGGATTAGTGAGAACTTCATGAAGATATTTTCTTTATTTCTAAAATGGAACTTGTACCCCCAATAATGGTCGACTCCAAGCGCCACCAGCGGCCTTTTTAATAGGTACCGTATTTGGCACAGACTGCTCTAGGGACCAACTGAGTACTTGGAAAACGTTTGAAGAACCAATAGCATTGGGAAACAGTATAATAAGCAGATATAATAAGGCATGGATCTCTTCACAGTACCAATTTCATCATTTTCATCTGAGACAAATCCGATTAGAGAATTTTCTCTACTTAAAATGTTTAGTCGGAACGCCAATAATTACGTACAGATACTACACGCGCCCATCCACAACTGCGAGTGCTTAAGTAGCGATGCTTTAACAGTATCTGATACACTTGGTGATGCACGCAGTTTTCTGCAGAAACAATGATGACATATGCAACTTTGTCAAACAGTCTTAAATCAGTGTTATATATAATACATTGAGACATTACCCATCATGCGAATCTCCTTCGAAACTGAATGTAAGAGTCCGCTCTGGTGCTGGTCTCCGCTTTGTGCAAGCCGTTTAGCGTCGTCTGCCACAATGAGAAATGTTTGAATATTGTTGTCGCGTAAATAATTATGTCGTGACCCGCCATCGCCGTCCTCCACTTCGTAATCATCTCCAAGACACATAAAGGTTTCTTGAGTGATGTGTACTCTCCTGTATAGAAGAAATGAAAATATATGGTTTCCTAAAGTAAAGGAACCTATTTTATTGCCTTCCATCATATTCCCCATTCAGATTATTCGGCAAGATGAAAAAGCCGTGGTCAGTATTAGCCCGAACCTCCTCTTCTCGCTATTACTGAGCTAAATATGTCTAAAGAACAGACGAGGTAAATTTAAGTACACACAAATTGTTCGCAAGTTAGCAACTTATCAGAGAAAGTCTTCTCGTCACAGCTAGATATTTGTCAGAGGTTTTGTGCATGGCGGCATTTTCTCTTGAACCTTCTTTTGATTACAGTGTTACTCTTAGGTCATGATTGGTAGTACAGCAAACAAATGTAAGTCAAGTTAGTATCATGATCGTAGTACCTGTTACAAGGCGCTCAAGAAGCTAAAGTTTACAATACTCAACCGAACGCGAGCAGTATTAACTTAGGCGGTAAGGATACTAATCTATACAGCTTCCAATAATGAGATAGCCTTTTTACGTTGGAACGTAGCATCTAAATTAGACCATCCAAGCGTTGAATTTTAATATACGCATAATCTGCGCTGTATGATCCTTCCGTGGGTGGCTCGGTAACTAAAAGCCCGAAACTATAAAGTAGTCAAATAATGACAACGGATAGCAGAGACGCTGCTGTAGGTATTTCGTCCGCTGTTTTGCAGCCAAATTGGAAACTAATTTCTTTGTAAAGGACACACCGTTTATTGGAAGCACGACTGGTAAGTTAACCTTTATCCTTGTAAGGTCAATAGAAACAGTATTCAATTAAAGGTATGAACTTAATTTATAGAAATATATATATTATAATAGAAATAAATTACTGGCAATCGTATCTAAGTAGTCTGAAATATACTACACATCATGACTGAAGAAGTAATTAAGTTTGAATATGAAAATATATGCACTCTGCTTACCCTGGAATACCACCCGCCTCCATGTAGTTGGCAAGCGTAACGTCGTTTGACCAAACGTCGAACTGCCATTTACGCAGCCCGAGAACTCCACAATGGACACGCCCTGTGTGGATTCCGACGCGCATGTTTACGTCCACTCCCGTAACGTCACGTACCAGCCTTTCAAATTTATTGATTATCACCAAAATGATTTTGTATCGTGTACTTTAGATCATATGTATGCTTATGTCTGTATGATAGTTATTAGTACTTCGCATAAGTTTCGGTACTTTGGCGGCCCGAGCCTATTTTCGTTTCCTCTTACGGTGCGATTTCTAAAACAAACAGTTCCGGCGGAATAATGGCGTTTAATCAAGAGACTATGTTAACCTCAATCCACAGGCATCCCAACTGTGAAAGATTTGTCTTTCAACAGTGGGAAGAGTTGTCTATTTGCACCTATTAGATGTCTCTTTATTTTCGCAGCCAGCGGAGCCACTATGCTGAACTTTGTAAGTACAAAGAGATACGCTAAAGCAACCTTATGATTTACTAATGTGTATGACATTTACTTTTCTCTTAGTTGGATAAATACTATTAACTGTCTAAGAAAAAATACGATTTGTAGGGTACAAGCATACGCAAGATATACTAAGAGTCTACCAAGTTAATCCTATTTGTGAGGTTATGATTTAGCACATGTTTCCGCGTCACCACGGAACGACAATTTACAGCATACACAAAAACAGATATTATTCGAATTCTGGTGTCAATGCTTATGTAAAATAAATGACGGAAGCCATAAACAGCGTTTCCAGTGATTACGTGAATACGCCGATGTGTTGTACGCACGTTTTTCCATTAGTGATTTCTCTTTCGTGTTGAAAAACTCACAGCTAGTATTAGTCCACTTATTTTCTGTTTGTATCTGGGTGTTTCTGATATTTCCCTCTGTTTCCGATAAAGAGCAGCCCGCATAAAAGCAATAGACCAGCCGATTTTTCGTAAACGAACTAAGGAGTCTTGCGAGAAAAGAGGCATATGGCAAGATGCCGTTAGCTCCACTTTGATCTGGGAAAAACTCGCTGTCGTTCTCAGTAGTAGGCCATGCGGGCTGCTAATTTGTACGGCAAACACACGTGACTTTGGCATTCGATATACGCTCGAAATAACGTTGCGCCTGGGGTTATTGTGATTGCCGAATATGTCGACTCATTTGCGCATTCGTAGACGAAGCTCATAGAATTCTGCCGACGTAGCACTGTATCTACATTTCATCGTTTCTATCTTCCACGTTTTACAGCTGTTAGTTCTTACCGCAAGTGAAATCGGTCGACACTTTATTGTATAGCTTACTACAGCTTTTTAAGTATTCCAGTTCGTAAGCCCCAATCGAATGCCGTCCGAAAATCTGAAGAACATCACCTACGTACGGCCAATGAGGGAGTTTCGATTTATACATCCCCCAAGGTACCAGACGTAAAACTCGAAATATCCAGGCCGGTAAGGTGCCCCACTTTGCTAAGGATCTGCTAGCGCTTACTTATAACCGAATAACATACGACAAAGGTCATTACGAGCTTTATAATCGTGTTTTATGCAGACCTATAATTATTATTGGACAGGAACCATTCCGTCAATCTGAATGAAAAAATACTATGTTATTCTTGCAAATTTCCTGGATGAGGTCGTCTCGTTAGAAGAGTTTTAATGAACACAGAACAGTAAACAATATTAATAAGCATAAAAACAGAGGAATAAACATGACTCGACCCCATTCGAGCCCGATCTAAGCAGGCCTTGGAGGGACGATTTCATTGTTTCTAGGTAAATGAACTATGCTCTTGCGCAAATAGTAAAGCTTTGAGGGTTTCTCAAAGGTAACGCGGGACTTAGTGTTTCGAGATGCTTTCCAATAACCTAGACAATAATTTCGCTGACCGTAAAAAAGAATGAGCCCAATAGCTTCTTATTTCCAAATTACTGTTTCAGCGAAAGGTCTATTACGCTGCGAAACATAATTCAAATCGTCCCTGAGAAACGAGTGGGCAATACGAATAGAGGTCAAGGACTAATCAACAGATTAACTGGTCTTACTGCACATAAAGATACGACGGTTGACCGAAGAACGGCTTAGTTGAATAACATCAAAGTGCTAATACCATTATCGTATGTGTAATAGGGGGTAGTTCTGATATTATAAAACATAATTCTATACGTATGGCACAAGTAGGTACTATTTATTCTATCTAGACCAACAATCAAGGCATTTTAACCTCGCTCTAGGTACGGATATAAACCATAGGCTAGCCAAACTATAGCTAGAATATTTCTATCGACTTAGCTTTTTCGCATTTAGTGGTTTTGGAGAAACAGAGATCGTCGATCTTTTAAGCAGCTACAGTTACTATCCAAAAAATATATATACACAACCTAGGTTTGGATGACGCATGGTCCAAGTTTGCTTAAATGCCTGTAGGAAATCACGATTTAAAGAGCAGAGGAGAATAACCAGTATCTCAAATCATCGTCCATATAAAGATAATAAATCCATATCTTCTTAATGCTATGCAGCAACTGGTTCGAATTCCGGTCAAGCTCCTCGTCATTTTATGCTCGAGTAAACAATTTTTTCCTCTCAGACATGTCAGCCATTCAACACTTAGTCAAAAATAGACCCAGGCACTCCTGAAAGCCCACTTAACGCGATATCTATACAGCTAAATTTAATCATGCATTTTAAGCTCTCCCATGCACTTTTGTACAGCGTTTCATTACTGCCGGTACGAAGAAAAGCTTATTTGTAATTACATGATTGGCGAAGAATCAGATCTGTTTTCGGTGGATCCGACTCGCAACCGCTGTAGTATCCTAGTAATGTGCCGTCATTAAAACGGAAATCAATGTAAGTGCCTACTAGCTTCTTAATGACTATTTTGCTGCGCAGAACTTTGACTGGCTGTCGGGCACTTCTCAGGCCTAAATAACATCGGAAGCTTCAGGTCCTCTAATAAGATCCATTTCTGTCCCTATGATTCGATTTGAGTATATAACAACAAAGCTTGGTACAAACAGCTCACGAGAAAATCTAGCGAGATAAATGCTTTTTTTTTTCAAAGATTTCGTAACTGCTTAAACGTACTAACTCAAAAAAAAGCAACGACACAGAGTTCAAATACCACTTCAGTTTTTCTGATACCCGTGCAAATGTCACGAGCAATTCAATTTAAATATCCGATAGATTCAGATCCGATTATAGTAGTGTCGCAGCTATTTGCCAGCACGCACGGTTCCTGAAATAAGGCCACTCTCAATGTAGCAACCGTGTGTCTATCTATCGACTCAATCGAAATTAAGTTTGTACATTTGTTCCACAAACGCTGTATCTGCCATTTGTCACTAGGTGTATCTATTTAAGCTGTGTTTCTGCTACTGTCTCACTTTACCTCAAACTTATCATATTAACTTTTTTTTTTTGTACGCGGTCTTTCTAAGTAGAAGTAAATGATGATGATGAAAAAATTAAATTCCATCGGCTTCGAGTAGAAAATCGAGTTCTATGTTGGACAATTAAGTTTCTGCTCGGAATAGTTCGACTATAATTTGGAAAAAATGTGTTTGTTCACAGTTATCAGTAAAGCCACTGGCCATTAACCGAGCGCGTCTGTATTCGGAACGTTGAAACTTGGACTATTTAGTCGATCGGTAATCGTATAGATGGAAAGACGATCTTCAATCATCATCATTAGGTCATCAAATGAGGTAAGTATTTTATTTTTTCCTTACAGTTGTCAACCTACCCTATGGCTTCGATCATATCGAGCCCCATTTCAACACAACAATGAGCATGATCTGGCCGAGGATCCGGCAAACCGCAGACGCAATAGTAGCAGTCACCTGTAAATGATCGCACCGTTTTAGGGATAATCGTATACTATTAAAGTCTCTCCCAACACTTCCAAAGTTCCGATACGGCATAACCCTACAAATTTAATTACCTTCGGCTAAATCTACGAAACAATATTGTTGCTATTTTATATCTATGCTTAAGTTCGAGCATTACTCGGAGTGCTGTGTCTTCTAAAAGTTCAACTTTATAAAATCTTAATAAGTGAACTGTCTATGATGTGAGATGAGTAAACACCTAAAGGATCTCAGATAAAACTATAGGTGTATAAATCTTATTCTCATGTGAAAAATAATCTGTTAAATCAAGTGAAAGTTTTCGGTTATCAATTATGTGCCGTTTCCTCTGGAATAAATTGGCTTAGCTGGTTGGCAGGAACGAGCATTTAACTCGTTCTACGTTTATATAGCCACAGGGGTATAGTTATTTATTAATCCACATTATAATGTACGGATCATTATATATATATATATATATATATATATATGAAAAAAAAACGGCTACATACGGAAGAAAGCGAATAACTGCAAGGCACCCGTTCCCGCCAACAAGAAATTCTGTATTAATCAGCTTAATTTTGGTGACAGTCGTGGGATAGCAGGCAAGAGACGACGCAGTGGAAGCGTCTGAGGGCTGCGTGCTTTTATTTGATCATATAAAGCCCAGGAGGCGAGGCCGAGCGCATAAGCTGTACGCTAGAGGTTAGCAATGTTCTGTCAAGCATGCCGTGTTTTGAGTGCGACTATACCTACAGGTGGCTTTTCGAGCCTGATTCTACCTGAAAGATTCCGAGCCTAATACATGGAACTTCTTCACGAAAAATCCTTACGAAACTACCAAAAGGAACAGGACCGCCAGCAGGATTCCGCTGCAGTTTCAGAGGTCAAGGCGCAGATTCGAGGACTTTGTGTAGAAAGAACGAGTGTTTGTCGGTTCTGCGGGAACGCAAAGCCGATGATAGGCTATTGCAAAACGAGATTTCCCTAGTAGCACCGATTTAGGTACGTCTTTGCCAAATACAACAAGTCAGTACTACGAATTTTTATTGAAGTCCAGAGCAAACCCTTTTACAGGTGTTTCGATTTCCAATGGATTAAGAAATTGCCTTTCATCCAGGAAAAAATCCCATATGCGATGTCCTATCGGAATTAAATTGATATTGGGAAAATATATTACATACAGTGTCCTCGTCAGCACAGTTTCTGCTGTAATTAGCTCTTACGAGAGGTAGCTTTTTCTAGGTGACGAAACATGGGGACGCATATTATTCCTAGAGATGACCCTAAAATAGTTTCAGTTTATCCTGCGGGTGCTGTGTTGGCGTTCAGACGCACGTCCTCTTAGAGAAATCCTTTTCTCGACAAAGAAAAGAATATTTCTAGATAGTTCGTCATTTCATACATCATTCACAAACATATTTAACTGCCAATTGAGAGAGGAGCGTCTTTGAATACGTTTGAAAGCTGCGATAGATAACCATTTCACATTTAGAAAATTCATACTTAGCTCACTTGCCATTGCCTTTTTAAGTAAGGAGACAAGATAAGACAAGGAGAAGCTTGTAGAAACAACGTTACGAAAATAAACTCCAAATGTTTCGTAAGCAAAGCTTTCTATGGGTATTATATTTAGCATGACTATTGCTGGAATGGAAGTCCGCTTATCCCGCATAGTGAATCCTTCCTGTTATCAGGACGGTTCATGGTCCGGCCAGTTAATATGGTTCCAAGTGCCCTCCTATACCAACCATTACTACAACGCCACGTCGGTTGAAATCTCTACATTGGCAGAAACAATCACCAGATGCTAGAAAAGTAAAGAGTCCATAAAAAAATAATACATCAACAAATATAAGGTATTATTACTGTTCCGGTTAATATGTACTTGTTTGGTTGCTGCGCCATTTTATAGGTCTATTGGAAAAGCCCAAAATAAGTCCAGCAATGCATGCTCCGCTTAAACGTCTAATGGGGGCTGGTCCCATTTGATGCCTGATGTAAAAATAAATCATTCGAAAAAACTTATTTATATAATGATAATAATTAAAGGATTGCAAAAATCACAAACAGAAAAAATGATTGTTATGATTTTTTTTGATATTTTCGCGATTGTGCCTGCACTCTACACAGAAACGGCTAGATGCGTTCCACGCGCAATGTAAATGAAAGATCTCTTTACGTTTGTAAATGGCTATGCTCGCTCCGTTGCCGAGGCGAACTTTTCTTGTAATTTCAGATTATGACAAGTAGATATTGTCCTTGTTATAGTTGCCATTGGCCTTAGGAATTGTACGGGCTCTTGTCGTGTCTCGATTTAATAATATACAGCAGGCTTAGTCAATGCCGTTCACTTGCAAAACGAAGACGTAATCCTTTTTTTGTTTACAATCTATTTAAACCACAGGTGTTTTCAACTAAATTCTACTTTCTCGTCTGATCGCCCTCCAACCGATAGAGCTCTATGAGAATTTAGAAACAGACGGATCGTTTTTAGCGGTTTCCTTAATCAGAACTTTACCTGGAAACTATAGTTACTTTTATTGTCGGTCCTCTTGTTCATTAATATTCACAAAAAATTCGATGAAATTGCTATAGAAAATCTTGGCCACAATCTATATCTATTTAGTGAGGCATTATTAATATTTTTTAATGAAAAATAACATAAGTAATAGTTTTTTTTTGTTTACCACCAGGTCGATATAAATAAAGCACATCGCTGAGCGGGAGAAGTATAGAGAAACGCTGATATATGAAGTTAGAAGCCAATGTATTCTTTGCCCGAATGCCCCGAAGTCACTTTCATTATCTGGTTATAGCGCTCTCATGAAGAAGGCGGATCATGCATGAAGGTATGGCGCTAACTCTACAAAGCGTCAAACGTTTTTTTTCAAAGTAATTTATTACACCATAAAACTTATTTATGAGTTAACTAGTATCACTAAAAAAAAGCTGTATGCATCGCACTGCATAAAAGTAATCCAATCTAACCCCTGCTATTTCCAAAGCACGATAATAATAAACATGGTTCAAAAACACTTTCCTATCTCACTTTTCGGATTTTCAATTTATCCAATTGCCCGTCCACAGAAGGATGGCTTACTCGGGCAGGGGTCCTTTATGCAGACCAAATGTAAAATTACATATCCTTACCGAATGATACGCCCTCTGCCAAGCAAGTATAGACGCACTGAAAAGGGGTGCTATTTTACCGACTACGAGGAACACATAATGATTCTAACACTGCATAGATGTCGCCAATACAGAACTCAACACGTCATGATACAAAACGAGACTCCTTAAACAATGGATCTAACTCGACACGTCGGGAAGGAGCTTCATTATACGTGTTTCTATTAAGGGCTACACTTCGTAACCACCAACGCTCGCCGACAATCTACGCAATATTGGCCATTAACAACACATGTCAACGGCATCTGTCGGACAACGACAGTTGCGATAAAACCGGAGAGAATCCACGTACAATACGGTCGTGAAAAGCGGAACACGCTCTCTCTATTTGGAACTTATGTGCATCATCTACCCGTACGAAAGAGGGATAGTCCTTCGAATCGAATCTTTAGACTCGGACTGTGCGAAACTGGTTTTTTGAGCTAGCTTTGACAAATTGTCTTTAGCGAGCTTTGCAAGCAGGAATTTACATTTACAACATTCTAGAAATGTTTAGTGATTAGTTAAAAGTGTTGTTGGTATCCCGACAAATCCAGAAATCACTATGACGCGTAAAGGGTAAACGGCAATTATTCCGTGGGAACGGTTAAAAACCACCTATATGATTCGTATATCTTGCTTTTGCTTGCGCGCAACGTCACTCTTCGTCCATGTATATATAGACATTTTTGCTGGAATGGAACTACATCGGCAGTATTTATTGTCTGCGTGTGTCATAACTACTGTTGACATTATAGAAAAGGATAGGAATAAGGTAATATAAAGAATCTGCTGCTGCGGATTAGCTGGCATCCCGAAAAGGTGGATCGTATGTACCAGATGATTTTCCAGAAAAGCCCAATTAGTGAATGTTGTAAATTTTCTTCAGACCATTTTTTTATAGCGACCTACCGAGGATCTTAATTCGGAGACAGTGGTTCTCAGCGGCCAGTCGATCGAAACGTGCGAACAATTCATTGAGCATTTTTACCACCTCTTCGGCTGTGCACTGAGATGATAACGAGGTAAACCCACAAATATCCGCAAATAGAATGCTGAAATAAGAAAAAAAGCTAAGTTAAGCTTCCTCTTGCAATAAAATTCAAAAGTTATAAATGAGACATTCAGTCAAGCCACAAAAATTGCAGGACTGCCGTTGCGTTTAGACAATGTTGACTGAACGAGATCGAACCTTCAAGCCATTGAATTAGCGTTTTTTAGATATTTGCCAGCAAGTGGCGCTGCGTAGCACGTTTACGGTAGTGCAAAATTAACGGTATTTTTCGTTTGGGATATAATTCGACGAGCACTGTAACTAGGTTTAAACAGGACATCGAACCATCTAACATCCGTTTGTTACCTTTGCAGCTGGTACAATTAAAACGTTTTGTAGGTTTTGCTTTTAATACAGAATGTATATATATGCGCTTTATACCGTCTCCCAACGGTCTCTGGACAGTTGGCTAAAAATTCCACCTTCTAAAAGGTCACGTGACCTCTAGGCTGTTTCGTATATATTTGTACGCGGAACAATATATATGTACATGAATATATTACCAATTAGTCGACTCTTTTTACCTCACGTTATTATGTCGCTGAATGTAGATCTTGTGAAACATCGAATCTTGCGGCTTGTTCACTATGTCTGCTTTCATTTCAAGGGCCACGTGGCGGGGTAGCACCGACAGCAGGAGTTGTTCCTGATAAACAATAAGACAAACTAAACAATTCAACCTTCCACAAAATAACTGAAAGCATCGGCGTTCAACTTGCTGTGCAGTTATGTGAATTTATAAGCGGCAGAAGGATATATTGTTATTACTGCCGAAAAGGTCGCAAAGTTCAAATGAAGTATCCATTGTTTTTGTGCAAACTTCTGTTATACTAAATTGTACATGTAACTTCAATAAATTCTAGAATTACCTGCTTTTGATTTTCTCGTTGGATGTTGAGACGGGCTTTGATGCAACCACGAGTCTCCACGAAAGCCTGTTTCTGAGACCTTTTCGAAGGGTAATGTGAAAAGGCCGCAATCCCATTTGCACCCAGCAACATTAGCAAATCGAATAAGAGCTGGATATACACCAACGAGGCAAAGAAAAGGCAATATAGCCGGCGAGTTGTAACTTGAAAACAAGTAAACCACTTAAACTTTTTTAAAATTACACAGATTCTTCGAATATTATGATCTTATTTGAACCTTGCTTGTGGAATAGACGCTAAGGCCATTTAATTTGTAGGAATTAGGACGTCTGAAGTTGGGCCAAACATCCAAGTTTATTTAATTTATGAGGCCCAGAATACCTACAGACGATATAAGTAATAAGATTTCAGCGTAGCTCTATCGTTCCGAGAGAGCTTATAGAAGTATGTCGATAAACAAAGGTTCTTTGGCTTAGAAGTTGTCACGACGTTCAAGACCGTTCAGACTAGCTGCTACCTATCCTGTATTATAAGTACATACCTCGCTAACCTGAATAGCTGAAAGAAGATAACATATACTGAGACTGCGCAGTAGCACTAACATTGGTAACACAAATGGTAAATTAAAACTTTTTCCTAAGAAAAGACTAGCAATACGAAACTATAATTCAGAGATTATTGCCATAATACCATTAGCAGATAGTGTCTGTACGGGCAACTGACTCAGATTTATCATCTCAACATTCAGAAAAGGCGTTTCATCGCTGCTTTTTTGGAAAAAAGCAATGGCCGCATGTCATGTTATATTTCAATAAAGGTTAACAGAGCAGATCGCAGAACAGGATATTTGGCCGATATCAAGCGCCAATATGGAAACATAAAAATACTACAAGTTTGGTGTAATGAAAAAATGTATTCTGATACAAAAGAAAACGAGGATCGGATATGCTCAATCTAGAAAAAGAAATACTAATACGTACGTTGAAAGTGCTTGTTTACGTGTAGCTTTGATACACTTACCGAACGTGACGAAGCACACGTAAATCACGCAACAGTTATTATAGATGCAGAATTGTACACGATCATATACACACATACACACACATACCGAACAAGCAGGGTGATCTATAAACCAGATAGCTATAAGAACCATGCAAAATTAACGAAACGCAAATAAACCAAGGAAAACGGCATGCTTACAAGATTTATCGCGGTTCTGGAGCCTGTCTGAGTATTTGCATCGGCGTATCCTGAATAACCTATCACTCTGATAGGTGAACTACCATTACTGACAAAGTCGAATACCTTCTGAGTAGCTTGTTCTGGCAAACTGTGATTGCTAACATTTCCGCCTCCAGAGCCAAAACCGCTGTAGTGAGTGCCTGTCGCTCCGGATCCGGAGACCGAACGAGTCCAGCCTCGCTCGAGAGCCAGCCATTCGCAGCCAATATAGGCAGCCAAGATTGTTGCACCCGTTAGAGCACTCGTCGTTAGACGAACCGGGACTAGCGTGTAGGCTTTGTAGATTAAGAGCATGCACAGCCATAAACCCGAGTACAACCTAGGACGATACAATATCTATAATTATACCAATCGCAGCGATTTATACGGCAAATTCTTTTGCTTGTTAGACTCACACATAGCGGACATGTTCTTGTTTAATAAAATCTGTGATGATAACGACCCTTTCAAATATATTCGTTAGCCAAAAGATATTCGTTACCTTATGGGGTATGTGTATATGGAATAGTGCAGTAGAAACGTCTCCCTAAAATATGGCGTTAAGAAATTTCTTCTTTGTGACGCTTCGATGCTCCTTTACTCAGCAAATCCTTACAATGTTGTTGTTATAAATTATTTTATAGTAATATACATACCTGCTAGCGTTTACTTAAAAGGTGTGGATTTCGCTGTCATTGGTAGAATCATTAGTCATAAAATGATTTTCTACATGTTGTTACTCCACCCAGTTTTGCATTATCGGAACTATCTTGGCGCTAGCCTGTATGCATTCTCGCTAGTGTAGCAGGAACAGCCTAACGAAAATCTCATGCGTAAAATTCCCCCTATGCATCGGATCCTAAAAACGGTACGTCTAAATCTCACCCATTGTCTACAAAATGCTTGGATGCCCTAAAGGGTACCGTAAAGGAGGCCGACAACAGAAGGAGTCCTCTTGGCCTTTCCTAAACTAGCAATGCGGTCGGAGGTGAAGTAGGTACTCTAGGTGTAGGCTATCGATAATAGGACCTATACAGGGCTGACATCTATGACTCTAACAACCGCAAAATTGCAGACACATTAAAGGACGGTTTAACTGATATATGTTCTCCTAAGTAAGATGCTGCGCATACTTCATAGCGAAAGTATAAAAATGGTACACAATTAACTTTGTATAAAAACAAACTGGTGAGGAATATCTGTATGATATGTGTTCATATATAAATCTGCCTGTAGTAACAGTGAATAACTGTCTCAGAGAGAATATCACCAGATGCAACTACGGATCGTATTGAATTTAAACCTTATTGGAATTCGGCGATTGTTCTTTTTCTTCTTATCGAATGTTTTCAAATGCAAAGGAATTACCTTGGGCTAGTCTTTGTATGGTACTTTTCATCCTGATACTCTGGAGATGTACCGTCTCTCGTCACATCTATAATGTCTACTGCTAAAAGGGCCGCTAGACTCACAAAACTCGCCAGGATCACGTGGTTACTCAGCACAAGTGCAGTTTGTCGAAAAAACGACTGAAAATCAAGCAAAAACGCATCGGCCGTTATGCTCACACGAAGTGTGTGAATTATGATTAACTTAGATTAAATTGTAGTTAGGATTTGTAGAAACTAAGCATCTGCTTGCAACCTGTATTTATATCTAGCTAGGAAAAGTGTTAAAGGACATGAACTCGCGGACAGCACTGTCGAAAATAGCTGTTCCCAAGAGCATTCGGGATTACCTAGGTCTAACAACCTACTAGTCTAGCCCTCCCGTTGAATATGTTACAAAAAACTATTATTTATTTATATCTATACATAAGCTATTTAGCAAAAGCCATGTTACCGTGTTCAAGTATGCAGCTTAAGATAGCTTTGACTTGTGAGTTTTTTTTTCTAGGTCGGTTCGCTAAACACCGAAAAACACATAGTTTACCTAGGGTTGAATATATCGCGCTTCGGTTTATTTTAAAACACGATTAAACTATTCTCTGAGTTAATAAAGTGCACCACCGTACGACCAACATTTATCACTGGATTCCCTCTATTTATTTCTATCTAACCCTTTGCTCGCGACCGTTTTACGGCCTGTATTTATAAAGGGAATTTGCAAGAAGAGCGAAATTATTTTTTGCGAAGACAAATCATAGCCTTTCCAGTGTGGACAAACTGTAGAACTGGCCCACCCAAAAAACTGGCCGCTTCGTAGAAATGATAATCTCCCACTTTCGAGTTGATTCATTGATCAGCTGAAACCCATAAAAGTACCCATACATAGGAACACTTTTTATTTCATCACAGAACAAATCTATACACATCATCATTATCATTAACGCCAACAAAAACAACATAATGCTTTATTAAGCTATTGATTTTTTAGACAGTGTCAGGTCTTGGTTAAGAACATGTAGATCTTGAGGGGTCCAGTAAATAAAAAATAAAGTAAATGAACTCTAGCTCTTGATCTTTATGCAAGAAAATTCACCAACCCTACAGCATTAGTTAACCGACTGCGCAATTATTTCACCATCTTTAGCTATGCTCCAATTGCGGCTTCATCGCAGTCCCTCTAGACTTCATTAGAGTTAGGTACTACTTACATTTAGTAGCTCTACAGATCGGCGCCAATGCTAAATGAAATCTCAGTGTCTTTGCAAACTTCAGTATTTGAACTATTTTATCGTAACGGTTCTTGACCGCAACATTTGGCCTCATGCGTTTTAACCTAGCCTCGATTATCCTGTACTCGCCTACGTATTGCCTCATCCATACCGTAGTGTGCCTTATTATCACAGAGGCTTTATCCAACCTACTTCGTTGTATTCATTCTGTAAAATACTTAGCATTTTTGCAGATAGAAATGTACTTTTCACCCCCTTTAGCATTCAAATAGTCCCATCGGCACGTCTGGTCGATATGCTGCAATAGTAGTACGCTCACTTAGCATTATAACACACAATTTAGGTAAATGGAAGTTACAAAACGGCTGAACGACGTTATCATAATCCGATGTCGGTCACTGGCTCTGACTTAGGTCAGGCATGATATAATCTGAGGTTGCGGTTTGCGTGAGCGTCCGAGTCGCTTTTGCTTCGTATTGTCCATGGGAAAAGGCGAAGATAATTGTAATTACTAGCGCCACTACCTTATACGAGGAAAACATGCGGAGTGTCAACGTGTGCAGGCCTGGCACAGTCAATCTGTGTGGCGTGGGTAAGTTAAGCGGCTGCTACTACCCAGCTTTTTGCCAATGCTTCGTAGCCCGCTAAACCTAACGAGTTGACCTCTATTATATACCTCGAATAATATGCTGTTATTTGTCAGCACTTAGGAGCCTCCCTCAAAGCGGGATTTATACATTTGGAAATATAACGAGCAGTTGCTACAATCGACTACAAATTCATCCAGAGGTTCTCGACTTGTTGCTAATTACTGCCATTTAAGAAGGCTCTTAGACCATCGTGGCCAACTTAAATGGTGCCACCTGTTCATCAAGTGTCAGGAGTTCTGCAGACAATTGCTGTTTGTCTGTGCACTTGTTAGCGATACATTTAGGCTTGTGATGAGTAAACGCTTAACCTGAAATGTTTTAGACCGACCGGTTGGACCAACCTAAATGAAACGGTAAGTTTTTAATTTCGAGCATATGAATACGAGCGTTTGAATACGAAGCGATACACATTTTTCTTTATTTACACTTCTAAACATCTTTTGCTTTAACGACAACTCAAAAAAGCGTTTATTTAATTTATGCCCCGTTCATATTAGTCGAGCAAAGCTAAATCCTGCCGCTGTCGAAACAGATTCATCCGGGACAGTTAAACATCTGCTCCTTCACCGGTTTTCGACCCACGAAACAAACCGTTCGTATAGAAAACAAAACAATTTAAGAAGGCAAAATTGCTTTTAACGCTTATAGCCGTTCCATTTCATTGGATTCTGTGGAATAATCCACCTTCTCTATATTTATCGTGACAGCTAAACCTTCGATAAAGGCAATACTACATAACCATCAACGGCATCAACAAATGTGGATTTCCGCATAGAGAAGTCGGTAAAGAGGCCTCGCGAACGCCCTCTGCTTCGGAGCACTCAACTATCGTATACAGTCTGTTTCCGGCGTTGAACTGTAATAATGAAGCTTATAATAACATTGACTTCATCGAATTGGCCATCAGCATTCGAATGCAACCGGAGCTGCTGATCATGAACTAAAGCAGCACGAATCCATCCGGGTATTTAAAACTTGCGTGGGTTGGCGTGATCGCCCACTCCATAAGGGACGCTGGATAACAGTACTGGCCTGCTCATAGGGAGCCGATTCAACACGAGTCACTCGATAGGCTTTCGGCTTCAACTGGCACGTTCCCTTCCACGGTGCTTTCGAGTCTTAGTCAAGTCTGTCTAGATATCCATTTGTTGGTATAATGGTTGTGGCGGTGATAGATTATCCAAGGCCCGTTGGCAGACCTTATATTGCCCTGTCACTAGCATAAAACTACGGCTATCAGTGAAGCAAAACAACAGAAGTATCGATTCCTAGCATTATTCTTTTTCTGAGCGGCTAGACTTAACAAGCAAAGCCTTGCCTGCGAGGCTCCAAGCTTGTATTTGGATCGTATAGCAACAGAACGGCCTTTGGATATTGATTCCTTAACGGTGCCTTTTTTTCCACGAACCCCGGACACCGCTCGACCTGTTAAACCCCTGTTTTTTCGCGTTTCTGAAGCTAGGTGGGAACGCAGTTTTGTGACTTGCTACGAATAGATCATAACGCCAAAGGCCATATGACGCACATCATTGTTCGACTCGATGTGCAACAAAGGTAGATCGTTAATAATTACTGTTAATCGAAACTGATTTTTTCAATGTTATACATTCGTGATTTCCCAACGGATACTGAGGACAAATCTACCAATCGAGGACACTGAATATATCTATGCGTCATTTTGTTACATATATATGCAAGTCTTTTCACAACACCATTGTTCGCTGTAATACCCCGTCAGAATTGAAATAATATTTAAGCCCAGTGCGTACCTTTAATAGGAATGCCTCAAAGGAAAATCCTTGAACAACTATACTATGAAATAAGTATTGCCATCTTCCTAGTGATCGAGTGTTTACTACCTAAGGTCCGAATATTTACTTTCACCTAGGGCCATAACTAATCCATTTTTATTGGCCTCATTTGTGCGTGAACGAGAAGTGTCTCTGCTATCAACAATGATATCTAAGCACGTTGTCGCCTATGTGGTGGCACCTGTAGGCTGAGGTAGCAGATGCCGAGGTAGAGAAGGCTCAGAGCCCCAAGGGCGGCGATGAAAGTAGGCGAGAACCGTTGGTATATGACCAACTCAAGAACAACGACAAGAAGGCATATCAGGCTCATCATCCCCGTTAGGGCCGACACGCTACGTTTGTTTAGGTGGAGAAAATATCTGCAACAGAATAAAAGCAACAAGACATACTGAGTATTAGAATATTAGTGAGAATTATGAGCCCCGATGGGTGTCCAATTAAATACGATACAAACGTGACGGCATGTTTTCAGGCAGGAGAAAGTTGGAGAAGGTGCAGGTGCTTCAGCGTAAACGTGAAACGCGGACGACTCGGCAAAAACTCTAATGGATCAAAACTCTAATGAATTCGTAATATGAAAACAAAAACGTAAGCATTAAAATAGCAAATATATAAGCTTGGATGTAGAGGTAAGGTGATTTACATTTTAGTAGCGCGGCATTCAAGGGAAATCGATGTTAGAAGCTCGATAATCTGGATTAATTTTTGACCTCAGCCAGCACTTGAAGGCATAGATCTTTTTGCGATTATTCCGACAGAACTTAACATCGCTGAAAGTTGAACTGAATTTCTTTCATAATCTGCAGTATAGATTTTTATGGATTTGTTTTAATATATTATTAATGCAGGATATCATTTAAAGTCAACTTCTATTAAAACTATAATATTTTACTGGGCTATTTCATTTTATCCTCCTCTCACCTAGTTACTTCCCAAATATAAACCCACACGAAATCATGATACACACCCGCTGAGACCAAAAACTTAATGTAATTTAACTTGTTCAAATCAGAGTTATCAAACAATAAAAAAAAAAACACCCCAATTTTAATTCCCCTATGCTACGATGATCGAATAGCGATAATCGCCCGAAAGCTCGGAAAATTGATTGATGAGGCCGGAAATCCAGACGCAGACGCGGAGGCAATTGGACAAGTACTAGCCAAGTCTAAAAAAGGTAAACGATGCTAAGATCAGTCAATTTGACATGGCAGAACTATACAAAACCACTACCAAACGGTTTAATATTTTCTAGGTTGACAAACGACATTATTCGACTCCGTAGACCTTAGCACTACAGAATTCAACTGCAACTAGGATTAGCTGGCCCTGATGAGACGGAAACTCCTTTCCTCGCTTTTGTTGTCCTTGACAGTGGAAGAGATCTAACAATCTAGTTATAAATATAGGGGGCACGAAACACGAATGCCAGATGCTGTGATTAAATACGCGTAACACTTTGGGCGGGCTTCTGCGGTTTCCTCATGTTGTATTCCTTGTTTGTTTTCAAATTCTCTCGTAAATAACGTGCAGACGCCTTCCGGCGTCGGGAGTTTTCTATACGTTACTTTATCATGTTATGGTACTTTTTTTTGAGATTACAGTGGCATATGACCGCGTACTCTGTCTAAATGAAGTTATTTCCTATTTTGGAAATAAATTCCTCTTCTATGAATGTTGTAAGACTTATGTTTAAGTTTATTAAAATTTAATTCAAGCAAATATTAATTGCTTAATTCATATTACTGTTTGTTAGCACTGATATTATATATAACGCGTATCGCATATGTACTATACGATAAATGAGTATTGCGTATATGATACTTAAGATTGACCTATGTAACTGTGAGTTAATTATAGTAGTTAAATGTTATATAGGTAAGATTTATGTATGACATGTGATATCACCATTCAAGTTATACTTGTTCTACTGAATAGACGGACGTACGACGCAACGCATAACAGAGTGACGTAGACGATCATCTATAAGAACAAATGGCTAGAAATTGGATCAGTCGACAAAGGGAACTGGCCGTCGAGTAGCTTGGTGAGAACAAATAAAAATTTTCTTCGTCTTACGGAGAAAGACTGCATAAGCATGCGCTTTTCACAATGGCTCCCACTTTGTTTATGGAGGTTTGCTGCCACTAAGAGAGTTCAGAAAAACCTGGAAATCTCACCGTTTCCTCTCCCTTTGTGTGTAGCTTCGCTCACGATTGGAGCGTTATGAACAGTGTCGGATAGGAAAAGCTTTTGCAATTAATAGAACCGTGTCTGAATTTGGTATCGTAATTGTGCCATATGCTTAAATGGCGCTTGTTTACTCTTCTTTATTAGGCTCATGTTATCGCTTGTCTTTATCATGTTATCGCTTGATTTTATATGTACTTGAAACTCATGTGATAGAAATAATCTAAAACTACCTGTGCCTTCCTTCGATCGCAGTATATACGCCAGCCAACTATGGCAAAAGCTTTTCACCAGTAAATTTGACAGTGGCCATATACAACAGACACTAATACTCAAATTGCCTTTGCGAGCAATTCTACGGCTGTATTCCAGCAAAAAAAATACACCAAACTATGGAAGTCACTTATTCCTCCATGTGGATTCAGAGCTCTATATCATCATGCTGAAGAAGCCTTGTAGAGTGCTCGTAAGTGTGAAGGGAATATCTAGGTACAGACTAAACCTTATGCTCTTGAAAGATACATATTGCTATTATCTTACTGTTTACTGGAGAAAGCCTATTAAAGCAGCAATCAATGAAATTGATTCGAAATTTGTCGAACATGAGTGACTCGAGGCAGGGGAGCTGCGTCATATATAATAAGTGAGCGTAATCTTTGATGCATGGCGAACGTTTCGCTGAAAATATCAAACGTTGCAGCTTGCTTATTTCGCATTGGCCGTACTAAGGCTAATGTTGAAATAACTGGAATAAGTAACACAACCATAGCTTGGCGCAAAGATATCAAACGATTTCGAGGAGCCATTGACGCCCCGTAATCCATCTAGTAGTTGGAAGGAATGCCGCCTGTCGCGATTACGTGGCAATTAGAAAGATGGGACACGTAATAGGCGTTCTAGACACGAGGTCTCGAACGAACGTAGGCCATGCTTTTGCATATTGAATATATGTATGTATTCCATAGAGGAGCTTCACTGAGACCCCTTCGACGCTCTCCTCAGCCGTGTCCTGCGTTTCGCACTACGTTTTAAATCTGTATTGCTCCAAACCTAATCCATGGAAAGAAGCTGCTCTGGTGACTACCCAAAGTTATTGAAATCGTCAATTGCAACTTGTACTTGCACTAATTACTTTTTATAAATAATTATGTCGACATCGAACGCTGCATCATCCACTATTTTCTTAATAGTGGACGATAGCGAATTTAGGTATATCTTCTTCAGACTACTGGTTTTTCATGCGTACACGGCTCTTTTGCATCTTGTAAACGAAGCTATGATATGCATGTGCGATAAGCCCTTGTATTGTTACTACGGATAGAAAAAATTATATTGATTTTAGATCACACCTTTATGATTGTTTGACACCTGCGATTACCACAAGACTCTCGACCTTATATTACAATAATATATTATCTTATCAAGTGAAATATTTATATAGAAACACATTATTATTACCGTTTAGCCGACCTAAGGATACAAAATCAGTAACTGGTACGAGACAATGGAAAACCAGAAATCAGATCTTCCCAGATTTCTACGTCGAGGAAACTGGTATCACCGACGCTTCTTAGTGATGAAAACCTGCGGATTCACCCGATGTAGTAAAACGCAAAAATAATGGTCATTAAATGTCTTCGATCTATTGCTCCGTATACACCACTCTAGCCGTTGAGGGTTAAATCAGCGACGCATTAGAAGGAAGTACGATTTCTATCGTAATCTTATTTCCTCGTTCAATCAAACTGGGCGGCTTTTAAATCGTATCAATCGTACTACAGTGTCAATGAGCTTTTCGGCTTGGAAAATTTCAACATGTAGAGGATGCTATCAAGAAAAAGAATACGATAGCCGTGCGACGCAACTAAAAAGCTCAGACTTTTGTTAATTGTTTTTCTGTAGATTAATCTATAAATGGATTAAAATATCATCAACGAACTGGTTATTGGTTGGGCCAATTTTTTGTACATATGTATGTATCTATATATACATATAGGTATATATATATCTCTAGTCTCTAGACAGCTGAGGTGATTTCATTTGATATCTTTTAGAGCAACAGAAGATACACAAGTTATTTTAATAAGGAGTGGATCCAAATCTTCTTAGCTTCTTCTTGGCCAATAAAACCATCTAAATTTATAAATGATCATAGCAGTCATTATTATGAATATTGCACCCAAGAAACGTACTAACAGTATCATAATATAGCGTAATTGCAAAAATCATATTGTCCTTGTTACTTAAAAATCTGTTGCATAATTTGCGTATAGATGTGAAATACAAACTTTCTAACAACCAAGAGACCTTTTACAAACTGTCCAGGGATTCGTGGGCCGTTCTAGGCACATCGGCTCGGATAAAGCACATACAAGTGGCTTAGATACGGACGTTGTCGATATGGTAGCTTGCTTAAATTATTGAACTTCTAACTAAAAAAATCCAGGGTTTAGCCAGTCTAGAAAATCTATTCTTTAGTTTAGACCCTAGCACCGACCTATACAACGTTACGAAAGACATTAGATAGGAAAATAACTATTCAGCTAAATGGTTTATTTTTCCGGTTATGGAGCGCCGATATCAATGATTCCATTAGGCGAATCCCTAACAAAGTCAGTTCCTCAAAGACGCAACTGCTTTACCGTTGGTACAAAGCATCACTCCGCCGGCGCATCCGTTGACGCGTGTAACAGCTAATGAGTCCACACGTCAGATAGTCACAGACCATATCGCCGTCGTTGATACAGTTACAGCATCTCTCCCGCGCCGGAGCGTCCATAATAAATGTTTGTTCCTCCATCGATGCTGGGTGTATGTACGCTTTCTTACATTTAACTCGCAAATTTATCCGTCAGCCGTTGTGGTAGGGCAGCTGCAACGGCCACACAATTTCCTTGACTTAGTTCATCTGGAATAAAATGAGGGCATTTGTAATTAATAATAGTAATACATTAAACAGATGCCTGACTGTGAAAAGTTCCTTTTCACAAACGACGAGCAATGATAAAAAGAGCACTACACAAAAAGAACAGTCCTGAGAGCCGTCTCTTACTTTGAGGGCTTGCAATCTATAATTTAGGATATTATCATCTGCAAGTATCAGATATAAAAACTAGATATTCAAACAGCTAGAGAAACATTGCTTTGGTCACGATTTTCTTGGCGTAGTATTTACGTCTGAAGGCTTGAGGGACTACGCTAAACTAAGGTATTACACTTTGATATTGCCACTGATCATAGTTCTGATAGATACAATAGTGAGAGAATGCACTTAGTTTTCAGATACGATGAGACAGGACGAGCGGGTGCGAGTCCGAGGTATGATACCCATTCCATAGTGCACCAGTTCAGTGCACCCCCTCCTCCCTCAAATGTATGCTATCACGTCTGATCATTATTAAGTGGTAAAGGCAGCTTTGAAATCATTTCGTTGCCCTACAAAACAAACCTATTTTGCTTTACTACACAAGTTGTTAGGTATGAGTACATTGCCTAACTAGTTACGGTCTGTTCCTTGTCGAAGTCGGTAGTATTGACGACGTGCGACCTACGCCATTATCTCTGCACGATTGTTTCAATCGGTTCGGTCACACAAAAAGATGATGATACCCAGCTCAACATCTATTACTGTTATACAACGCAATGGTTATATAATTATTAAATAATAAATAAAATAAATTGCCATAACTAAAGGCGGCATCCGCCATCATAGTAAATCAGTATTTAGTTAGTGGGGGGTAATGTTTACGAATACGAATGACAAGAAGGTAGAAAAAATTTATACACGTCTCACTACGGACTCCTGTTAGAATTGAAAGGTAGTGCCGGCTTGTAAGCATCGCTGCAAACAAATGCATTTCGATAGGTTGACTAACGTCTGGCGGTCGAAAGTGAGCTGTGTCTTGGTGTCATATTGATATGGTATTGAATTTAATTGAAACAAACAATCGCACTGAATTCAGTTATTGCGTTAGGAGGGGTCCACAATCAGGAAGAGGTTCCTGCTCAGCCAGAGTGGGGTGCAACTGTACCAGAGCACCCCACAGCGCATACGAGATGATTTTGTGAATATGATTTCAACCTATGCTAACTATTTTCTCAAATTGATCCGGATCACTTTGTCGTCGGTAAGTTCTTCAGTGTTTTGGGGTTGGGGCGCGTTATCGGGGATTGATAATTGCCCATCCTGCGCTGGAAAAGGCACTGGCCATGAGTGAAATGCAACAGGTTTCGTTAGCCGCTTTGGTTTTTGTCCAATTATATGAGGATAATTTGTGTTATACACAGATTATCCTCATATAATTGCCGTAGTCATCATGGACATAATGAATGATGTAACAATATTACGTAGTTTATCCTAGGAAGTAATTGTTATTAGATCGTAAGTTACAAACGAAATATTTCTCAACAACTAGAATTTGTCGAAGCGAGGTTTAACCGGAATGCCGGCTTGGAAACAAACAAAGTCAACGTCAGGAAATTGGAGAAACTTAGGGAATAACTAATGTTTTTTGTGTATATTAGTTAGGTGAGAACAGTTTATAGTTAAACACCTAATTAAGTAATCAAAATAAAAACGATAAAATATCATTTAGACGGTATTTAATTTATGAATAATAGTCGTACTTGCAACAGCTTACAATTTTACGATCGTGAAATAAAGCTCGCTTCGATATATCGGTCATATATAGTGGGATAATTTGTCCTATTGATGCTGGGTGGTAGATGCATCGCAGCGAAGATAGTTCTGCTTTTAAACTAAATGTTAACTAACCAGATGTCACTGGCCTTACCGAACGACGTTGCTGTCTCGGGGGTAGTTAGGAACCACAGAATCAATGACTAGTCAAACAGGGCTCCAGTCAACGTTTGCTTGCGCTATATTTAATTTCTACCAACGGACAAAGTTTCTGTTAAAACATTTTACACTTGGCAAATCAGCTACTAATTTATAACAAAATAGATAAATTCATTAAGTAGAAAATGTATATATCGTTTAGGGCACTATTTCTTATTGAAGTGAGCCACATCTTGGTCTCTAGAAAAGGATGATCTCATATGTTGTTTGGCAGATTGAAAAGATGTGGCCTTTTCTTAAAAAAAAACACTTTTCAGCATCCGTACTCTTCTTAAGGCCATATTCGAGACATGGTGGGCGCTGTATTAGACAAAAAGGCTGCAGGAACAATCCGAACGGGAGTGTTGTCCGAACCAAAAATGCCCACGTGATTTCAAGTAGCAAATTACTCGTTTTTGACATTGCGTTCACTACGTAGTCTTAACGTATAAATAAGTGTGTATTTTGTGGGTTCGACTACACCATTATTGTTATATATATATATATCTCGAGGCCTATTTGAGCTTGCTATTCATAGCTTCTGAAGCTTACGTAAGCAATATGTGACCCCTGCACAATATATTTTTTGAAGTTTCACTTCCATGAAGATGACTTGATCCAAATCACTAAACGGTATATGGAACATGTTAATTTTTGAGCAACATATTTTAGGTAGAATCAGTTTATACTTATTTTCATTTCGTACACTGAATTTGAGTATTCGCTGTCTAAGTCTCGGCGGCGCACGGAACGGTCGTGCCCGGAGACACGTAAACCGTTCAGTAAATTATAATACACCAGCAGCCGAAAATCGGGAATGTCAACAATTTCATTGGGTGTCAGACTAACAGGATAAAAGCAGAACTGAGCATAAAGCGCCTATTGTCGCCACTTGAGACAAAAGTTCCCCTATAAATTTTACATTTACTGTCATTAGGAATTTTACTGAAAAATAAGCCACGTGCGAAGTATATATTTGTACAAGATGATGCGCTCAAATTGGCAAAAACCGTAGTGGACTGTTTGTCGTAATGGGCATGAATTTACGCATACACTCTTGGTAGCCAATTACATCTAGAATAGAATAGAAGAATACACCTAGCACAAAATAAAGAACTCGTCATGCGGGATACCGGTGTATCGTTTTCGGAATCTGAGCAAAGATCAGCTACTATTAATTTTCTGCGCTACACCAAATCCACACAGACTATAGACTTCTTGTTTTACCCGAAACCTTCAGTCTACGTTATCTCCAGTTTTATGTAGCTTCTGCTATAGTTTTATATAGAGGAAGACTTTCAATTCAAAATGGTTTAAAAAACCACTCTTAATATGTTGTAAAACCGTTTAGACAGAAATTAACGGTCCTTTTAGAGAGAAAAATATCAATGGCTCATTCGCTTAGATAAGCTTCTGCAGCTCTGAAATTTTCGGCCGTCCTTAGCCATTACACTTAAGGGTTTTTGGCCTGTTATCAGTCTAAGACTTGATTCTTTTGACAATATATATATATATATATATATATATCACACTAAGCAAATACATGGAAATATTAAAAATTGTGCAAAAAAAAAAGCTTCTTTTCACACTTTGATGAATCGTTGTAGATGCTCAACTACCATCATATATGCACAAACAATACAGTATTAAAATATAATGATCCTATCTATGTTAGACAATATGCCACGTTTTCGGCACTGTGTATTACACCGGTATCTATGTACACCAAAAAATGATAAATTCTCATGTACACTATATTTCGAATGCTAGCTAAATCGGATTAGTCTAGAGAGAGCTGGGAGCTAGCTCTCTGATGAACTGCCTAATATCGATATCGGATGTAGAACTCGAAGCATAAAGAGCCTATAAGCAGGTTGCACTTTCAAGTTGAGCAAAATGGCAGAGGAATTAACTGGCTGATCGTCGTTGCGCCTCTATGCCAGATATATGTCAAATTTATGACCGAAAACCATATATTCAGGTAGCTAGACGCAGGTTCATCAATGGAAAATGATCAACGGCGGGCTGAAACTCGGCCTATTGATGTGGAATTATACGCCGTCACATTGCTACAATGAAATGGAGTTCAATGAACGCATGTGGGTGTTGCAAGAGCGACGGGTCAACGGGGGAGGCGTTTATCATTGTTAGTTTCAACCATCATCGTATCGTTTTGCGTCAGTATAATAAATGTCAGCTGTATTTATCGACATTAAACGTTGGCGTTCGCCCCGCATCAAGGTGTCTGGCTGAAATCCAATCTGCCGCTGTAAACATCGTAAAAATAGATGTTGACATGACGACGAGGAGGCCGTGAATCTGATATAAGAATGGTTTGCTATCATAGAGCTTTTAGAATCAATTGGCATCTTAATTAGATATCATATTAGAACATACATGTAGCGTGTGTTCTTCCTTATAGTCCTTATAGTCTTCAACAGCTCCCTGCAGGAATTGGCTTTTCATTTGAAAACTTTGGACGAACTTTTCGTTAAATTATAAGCATGCTTTCGAAGTATGCGGATTGACTTCAACGGCACATATCGATCAATAGAAATTAGTAGAAGATATACAAAAGAAAACATTATTATTATAGGATTCTCTTGCATCGAGCAACATATTTTTTTCACAGAGATGTTAATAAAACTGAAAGCTTTTTCGGTCTTCAAATCAAATTCGTCGTATGTCTTCCTATTGTTAAAGCTACCCCTCGAAAAGACCTGTATCAGGTCCTTTAACATACTACCGCCTTAAAGAGTGCGTTACTGTCATTATTACTATAGGTACGAGAGATAAGGGCCACAAAAGAGTGGCAATAACGCCCCAATTGGACATAATAGGTAAGCTTAGGTTGCATTGACCGTCGTGATGATGACGTTAGTGCCCTTGATAACGAAGCTAAAGAAGGTAATAATGTTGCCTGTTAATGACGATGGTCTGCGATCGCAAAAGGCCTAAATCAGACAACGATGCCGAGCACGTAAAACGTGATAGAAGGCCCACAGGAACAATAACATCAGCAATAAGCAAGCAAAGAAGAAGACCTTTATCGCCAACAGTAGAACGTGATA